TGTAGCATTACTGGCCTAAAGTTTTCTTTGTTCATTCTCAGGTCCCCCCGGCCTTCCGTACGTACTTCATTGTTTTCTTTTTGAACTTCATTCACACAAAAATATATTTTTTCTTATTTCTTGGGTAATAAAAATAACCCGGTGCTCATGGGTTTTCAGATTCAGTAATAAAAAAGCATAAAATGGTATCAGTACCTTTAAAACTGTTCCTAGATTTTAGATAAAATATTTTTTAAATTTTGGGAACAAAGTGGGTTTTTTTGGTAGGGGGGGACCCTTTAAGGGGGTTTAAGGGATTTGTGCTTATTTTTCTTGATACCTCCAGCATTTCTGTAAGCCCCAAGGGTGTCATGGCAGTTTCCCCAAAATAGATGGAGGATTGAAAAAAAAAATTCAAAAAATTTAATACACGTGAGTAAGGCACATGAAACTCCAAAAGCAACGTAGGTGGGGTTGGGTGGAGTGCTCCAAAACACTTGTTTCCAAAGGGACAACTTCAGTCCTGGACTGCCAGTTTTTGAGTGTACCCTTTAAATTTAATGCTTATTGTAAAAACTTGGGAGCTACTAAAGTCAGCCATCCTAATCTGGCGTCGTTATATCCCATTCTCATTAAACCCGGGACTAAAATTTGGCTAGCATAATTTCAAATTTTACATTAGCTGACTAATCATTTACGTCTAAATTTTATCATTAACTAAATCAAAATTGTGCAGATACGTAGTTTAAAACCACAGAGCAAGCCATGGGAGGAGAAAGCGTATGAAAATGGGAACATTTGCAGAAAGAGTCTCTATTGTAGGTTAAAATTTTAAATGTATTCTAACCAACCCCTTGTAATCCGGGAAAATCCTAAAGGCACACTACAGGTCCCATTGATGCCCGATCAGTGATGGCCGCCTGTATCAAGGCTTTTTAATATTTGCAGAAAAAAAGGGGCACATTTATTATCGCTTTTGACAAAAATTGTACCCGTTATAAGTGAGTTTGCATATATTATAGTACGTGGACCCCCCAACGATGCATCGATTACGATAAATCCGACTAGCGATACATTTTAACGCAAAATTTTTGCCTCGACTGCGCTAAAAAAAACCGCCCAAAACTATTCTTCCGTTGAGCGCGTCCACTTTGGCCCGTGTTTACAAGCCAGCCACCACCATTTCCCCCAAAATACGTCGGAAAAATTTTATATTATCAAGCCTTTTTTTGTATTGCACCTGCAAAATGAGTCCCAGGGGCCCCCAAAAAGCTTCTAGTGCCAGTCCCACACAAAAGAGTGAGAAAATTTCTATGGTTTGAAAAAGGATCATTGCTAAGTATGAAATGGGGGCGTGTCTTTAAGCGGCCAGGGTTTTACACAAAACCGCAATCAACCATCGCTATATTGTGGCCAAAAAACGGGAATCAAAGGGAAACTGTTCTTGCCAAAGGTGCAACATGTTTTCGAAACTGAGATGAAGTACTCGAAAGATGTTTTTAGAGACTGTTATTGGTGTGGTAAAAGGAAAAACAAAAGCAGGAGATGATTTTAACAATCTATGTGAAAAGGCTAGGAAGTTGCTGACGATTTAATTAAAAAAAAAACCACAACTAGTGGTGATGTGAGGAATTTTAAAGGGCCCGCAAAAGGGTTTGGTTTTAAAATTTAAAGGAAGGGGAATAACCCGGAAAAGGACTTGCCACCTCAGTCCCCAATGGAAGGGGATTCCCCCCTTTTAAACACTTTAAAACCCTCAACACTCTCCCCTCCTCCATCCCCCTCAATCGTCCCGATCGTCAATAAAGGTAAATTATGTAACGTGCATGTTTCTTCATTTTTTGTGAATTAAAAATTTAAAATATAGTGGGAAAACAATTTTTTTTTTATTTCTTTGGGGTTTTACCGGATTTAAATTTTATTTCCCTTTTTTTTATGGGAAAATTAACTTTTACTAACGTTAAAATTTTACAAAGAAGAGCTCCAGGAACGGATTAATAGGTTAGTGAGGGTCCACTGTATACCTGGGTTTACCTGGAGAGAGTTTCGGGGGTCAAAAGCCCCCGGGCCGGTCTGGTGACCAGGCCTCCTGGGTGACAGCCCCCGTCAACCAGGGTGTTGCTGCTGGCGCACGCAAACCAAGTACGGGCCCGCCCGGCTGTCAGGAACTGACTTAGGTGCTTTTCCTGCCAGCTTGAATTACTATTATTACTGTAATTATTCTTTTATTTTTTGTTTAAAAAAACTTAATACATATGTGTTTTTTTCCTTGTATTTCGAAAAAAAGTAAAAAAGGGTTTAGTTGTATGTCTCTTTTGTTTAACCCTTTTTACTGTTTTTTGGTCGTATTTACGACTTACGACCACTGTTTTTGACGTATACATACTCAAGATCTTAACGGCTTAAACAAGCAGGAGAAAGGGTAGGGCCCCCGTGAGAGAAGGGTCTGTGTGGTATGTGCAAACCCTATAAAAAAAATCCCGTAGCATGCAGTGATAATGAGAAAAAAAAAAATCCGACCGTTTTTCTTTTTTTAAATTAAAAAGCCGACTTTTTGGTCTATTTTTTGTATAGTATTTATGGGTGTTTTCTTGTTTTTTTTGGTCTCATTTGATAGAATGGAAAACATCTTTAGAAAAAAGGTGATTTTTATTTGTTTTACTTGAAAAGAACCTTTAAATGGGTCAAAATAGGGGAAAAGTTTTATTTTTTCCCCTGTTCAAAAAAAAACAAAGATTCATTTTTTCCCAAAAAATGTCCAACTTCCATTCTAATATGCATCCCGAATGGGTTGACAAATTTTTTACAATTATTACAGATTGGAAAATGTCTGCATAACAGTAAATATTCTAGTTTTTGTTTGAATAAAAATTCAAAATAGAAAGCAAGAGTAATATCAGAAGGGCCTGGAGATGTGACTGATGAACAAAGAAAATGTTATTTTAGAGCCAGGAATGTCTGCATTGTTCATTCTGGACCCTATTTTGAAATTGTCATATTTTTTAATTGCAAATTTCTCACCATGTTATTGGGTAGTTGAAATCGGTAAATGGGCAGTTTCTTGTACTCAATCGATAGAAAAAATGGAGTTCTAAAGAAATGGCTATGAGGATGGTTGACTAGAACAATGGAATTAGCCAAAAATAGGGCTCAATGTGGGCGAAATCGCCGATTCATAAATATCACTGAGGTCGCTAACTTTGCGACAGTTTTCCATCAGATTTTGTTCTTTTGGTGTCATTACAATCGGGAAGAGATTCTCTATCATTTCATAAGAATTTTTTTTTCTTGAAATTTTGAGACACCAGGAGACACCTCAGGATTTGGGGTTGCGACAGTCAAGGGGTTAATAGTTATGAAGTGAGTGACATCGGCTGCCTGAGTGAGACAGGGTAAGCGTGGTACGCGCTGAGCTGGATAGGCGCCTATAGATGGCAGTGCCACCATGGCACAAAATATTAACCTAGCTGGGCATACGTCTCTCGGCCACCTACCCATTGTTGTCCTCGACCATGATTGACTGAAAAAAAAAAAATCTCGGTCTCTCTCTCAGGAACAGGGAACAGGCAACAGAATAAAAACATACATGTACATGTGGACATGGACAAAAAAAAAACTTGATGGCTCTTATTTTATATTGTTTGACATATATTGATGAAATAAAAATCCTATACTATAGATCTTTTATTATTTATTGATTGATCCTTCTACAGTGCTGAATTACAATACAGTACAGGTTGATTTGTAGGGTGCCAGATTAGTGATTTTGCTGGATTACAGAGTGCTTAGGTTAGAATACACTTAACCCAACGGTGATATTTACACTTTGGTGGTTTTGCCCACTTTATGCCCTATTTTTGGCCCATTTCATTGTTCTAGTCGACCAATCTCATAGCTATTTCACTAGTATTCCTTCTATTCTGTTGAATGAGTAGAAGAAACTGCCCATTTACCTATTTCAGCTACTCAGTAAAGTGGTCAAAAATTGGTAAATTGGCCAATTTCACACAAATTTCAAGAGATGCTAATTTCAAAATAGAGTCTGGAATAAACAGTGCAGATATTCCTGGCACTAAAATACATTTTCTCTGTTCTTTGGGGTCACGTCTCCAGGCCCCTCTCATATTATGCTTGCTTTCCGTTTTGAATTTTTTTCACACAAAAAATAGAAGATTTACTACTATGCAGACTACTGCATTATTGTAATAATGGTTTAAATAGTGTCAACCCATTTTGACCGTGTATTAGACCGGCCAGTTGGACATGTATTGAATGATGACATCATTTTTTTTACTCTTGAACATTGGCAAAAATCGAACATTTCTGCTATTTTGAGCTCAATTTCAAGGTACTTTCTGCCCTAAAACACTCAAAATCATATCTATTTCTGTAATATATCTTCCATTCTATCAAATGAGACCAAAAAAACAAGAAAAACAACAATAAAAAACCCTATGAAAATGCACCACAGATTCACCGTTTTACACCAAAAACACATTCACATTTTTTTTTTTTTCTCATGCATTGCGTGCTGCAGGATTTTTTTTTATATAGTGTACACTTATCACACAGACCTATTCTCTCATATGTAGGCCCAAATTTACTGGTCTCAGCTTATCTGAGTGAGCTGAGCTCATGGTGACTGACTGTGGCTTCAAAACCACCTTATCTTTTATGGACAATGCACAGTGTACGTGCTTTACACAAGGAGAAGATTTCTTTTGTTCATTGGAACTATGGCCCAGGGGCTAAAAGTGAGCACGTTATAACAATAAATGGAGAAAAACAAATTGGAATAACTTGTGCAGCAAGTAGCGCCAGCGAACAGTAGCGGCATGTTGGTGTGGCAACCCCTGAAATTTGAAATTAGGTTAGCTGAAATTAGTACCAGATTACTGATGGGAACTGGAGTACTGAGTGCTGGATTAGTGATGGCCGACCTGTATTTAATATTTTTCTCTCTCTTGCCAGCATATTCTGCTTGTGAGTAAAATACTGATCAAAGCCTTTCTTTTACTCAGGCCAGTCAGAAGGCAGGCAACAAATACAAAGAAGAAAGTGAGAGTAGTGACTCTGATGAATGGGATGAAGAAGAAGATCCAGACAATATGAATGTCCCAGGTAACTGACTACAGTACTTGGAAGCTTTTGTATATTTTATCAGAAGTAAATGATGTGTATGTAGTTTTTATATGTTTAAGGAGACAGGTTGTCATAAACAAATATTGGTAAAACAAAGTACTTCACAAGTACAGGTTTTCACTAGCTAAAAAATGGTTGAAAGCGTCATAAGTGCTAATGTAAATAAAAAATTTAAACATAAATAAGACTAAATACTATACTGCATTTATAATAATGTTTTATTATTTCTTAAATATGAATTGCTCACCATTATTTTTGTTTACATTGTAGTTTTGGGTAGCTGCGGTAGACAAAGCAACCTTTTTGGTGCCTTCTCATGTGCTATGGTAAAAGAGTGTAACTTCAAGTCAGCTTATTATATAGTTCTTCATGGGAGGTAAAATTATGCAGGTGAAGGGCTCTTTAAGTCAAGGAATTGGACCTGACCCCTCTTTGACTGATCCTGATTACCTCCTGCTACCCCAGGCAGGTGACTCATGTAGGATTAGCACTTCCTTCTATCTCCTGGTACCACTGACTGGGAACAAATGCCTAGTTTGCTGAACACCCAGTTGTGTGTGAGTTGGCATAGTGGGTAGAGTATAGCATACTTATTCCCAATGTACACAGGTTCAGACCTCTTCTGACCTGAGATGAAACAAATCTTAGAACAGATGGGGCTCAAACCCATGGCAATTTATTTACGATTGTTAATATGATTTTGTGTCACTGAAATGCAACATTTGAAAGTAATTTTGCTGTCTATGGAAAATTGAATTCTAATTAAATTTGTTGTTCGAATAACACCATAATTCTGCATGAGACACTATTTTTTAGAGCAACTAAACATTTATTTTCAACTGAAAATGATTCACATAAAAGTTTTTTATCGATCTGATATTTTTTTAAATGGAAACTTATTATTTATCATAATGAGTATTGTATTTTATGCAGATTTTTTTTAACACGCTGGTCATCTCCCTCCAAGGCAGGCAGATGTGAACGTGAAATCTTGGGGTACTTGTGAGCATTGTCAGAGTAAATGTTTGCTGTAATGAAATTATTTTTGACAGTACTATGTATTAAAAAAAAATTTCTGCTTACAGGGGGGGGGACAAACCTTGGTGTGCTAAAGGGAGAAGAAAAGCCGTTGAAAAAAGAGCCCAGTGGCACACTCTCCTCTTTAGGTGCCAGTAGCTCAGGTCTCACTCTTCAGTCTCTGCTTGCTGCACCACATGCAGACCTTAAACCCAAGCCAGATCTACTGAGTGCAGCTCTGTCTTCCTCAGGTAATATTTATCAGTTACTAGAATAACATTATATTAACCCTTTGAGAGTCGACAGGCCCTCTCCGAAACTCGTTCTCAGGGTCGGCCAAATTTAAAAAAAAAAAAATTATTTTCTCTTATGAAAAGATAGAGAATCTTTTCCCGATCATAAAGACACCAAAAGTTTGAAATTTGATAGAAAACTTAGGGAATTATGCTCTCGCAAAGTTAGCGGTCTCGGCGATGTTTACGCATCGGCGATTTTGCCCACTTTGAGCCCCATTTTCGGCCAGTTTCACTGGACTAGTCGACAAAAAACATGAATATTCCGCTAGAACTCCATTTTTTCTATCGAATGAGTTCAAGAAACCACCCATTTATAAATTCAACTATCCAGTACCGTGGTCAGAATTTAGCAATTTTGCCAATTTCACACAAATTTCAAAAGATGCCAATTTCCGAATAGGGTCCAGAATAAACAAGAAAGACATTCCTGGCACTAAAATGACATTTCCTCTAGTCATTAGTCACGTCTCAAGGCCCCTCTTATATTCTTTTGCTTTCCACTTTGAATTTTTATTCTCACAAAAAATATAAGATTTACTGTTATGCAGACTACTGCATTAGTGTAAAAAATGGTATAAATATTATTGGTGCACTTGTGAAAGAATATTAGACTCACCAGTTGACGTGTATTGCACGCTTGGCACGATTTGTTTACTTTTGAAGTTTGGTAAAAATCGAACATTTCTGCTACTTTGAGCTCAATTTCAAGGCACCTTTCATTGTAAAACCAGTCAAAATCATCTCAATTTCTGTAATATGTCTTCCATTCTATAAAATGAGACCAAGAAAACTAGAATACAACAATAAATACCATATGAAAATACACTGCAAAGTCGCTGATTTATTAAAAAAAAATGGTCAAAGTTTTTTTTTTCTCATTATGCACTGTGTGCTGCAGGATTTTTTTTAGACTGTGCACACTGACCACATAGACCCATTCTTTCATATGAAGGCCTACCAGCTTTCTCCCACTAGATTTGAGGCCGCTAGAATTTGAGTACTAGTACGTCAAAAACCCCTACGCGTAAGACGTACTAGTACGACCAAAACCCTCAAAGGGTTAACCCCTTGAGGGTCCGTGCCGTAGATCTACGGCTTTACGTTGAGGGTCCAAACCGTAGATCTACATCATGAGCTCAGCTCACTCTGATAAGCTGTGAGCGGTAAATTTGGGCCTAGATATGAGAGAATACATCTATGTGGTATGTGTGCACCACATAAAACAAATCCTGCAGCACACAGTGCATAACGAGAAAAAAAACTGAGACCGTAATTTTTCGATTAAAACAGCAACTTTGCAGTGTTTTTTTGTATGTTTTATATAATTGTATTTGCGATTTCTTGGTTTCATTTGATAGAAAGGAAGATACAGTGGACCCCCGCATAACGATGGCATCACATAGCGATTATTTCGCATACCGCTTACTTTAATCGCAAAATTTTTGCCGCGCATACCGATTAAAAACCCGCTCACCGATTTTCGTCCAAGACGCGTCCAATGTGCGCCCTCAGCCAGCCTCACATGTGCCGCCCGTGCCATTGTTTACCAGCCAGCCTCCGCGCTAACATCCAAGCATACACTCGGAATATTTCGTATTATTACAGTGTTTTCGGTGCTGTTTCTGGAAAATAAGTGACCATGGGCCCCAAGAAAGCTTCTAGTGCCAACCGTACACCAATAAGGGTAAGAATACCCATTGAAATGAAGAAAGAGATCATTGATAAGTATGAAAGTGGAATGCGTATCGCCGACCTAGTCAAGTTGTACAAGAAACCCCAATCAACCATCGCTACTATTGTGGGCACCAAAAAGACAATCAAGGAAGCTGTTCTTGCCAAAGGTTTAACTGTGTTTTCGAAACAAAGATCGCAAGTGATGGAAGATGTTGAGAGAGACTTATTGGTGTGGATAAATGAAAAACAGCTAGCAGGAGATAGCGTCTCTCAAGCGATCATATGTGAAAAGGCTAGGAAGTTGCATGACGATTTAATTAAAAAAATGCCTGCAACTAGTGATGATGTGAGTGAATTTAAGGCCAGCAAAGGTTGGTTTGAGAGATTTAAGAAGCGTAGTGGCATCCATAGTGTGATAAGGCATGGTGAGGCTGCCAGTTCGGACCACAAAGCGGCTGAAAAATATGTGCAGGAATTCAAGGAGTACATAGAAACTGAAGGACTGAAACCTGAACAAGTGTTTAATTGTGATGAAACAGGCCTGTTCTGGAAGAAAATGCCAAGCAGGACCTACATTACTCAGGAGGAAAAGGCACTCCCAGGACATAAGCCTATGAAAGACAGGCTTACTCTTCTCATGTGTGCCAATGCTACTGGTGATTGCAAAGTGAAGCCTTTATTAGTGTATCACTCTGAAACTCCCAGAGCGTTCAGGCAAAAGAATGTCCTCAAGGATAATTTGTGTGTGCTGTGGAGGGCAAACAGTAAGGCATGGGTCACTAGGGAATTTTTCTATAACTGGTTACACCATGCATTTGCCCCCAATGTGAAAGATTACCTAACTGAAAAGAAATTAGAACTTAAGTGCCTCCTGGTGTTAGACAATGCCCCTGGTCATCCTACAGACATGGCAGAGCGACTTTATGGGGACATGAGCTTCATTAAGGTGAAGTTTTTGCCTCCTAATACCACTCCTCTCCTGCAGCCCATGGACCAGCAGGTTATTTCCAACTTCAAGAAACTGTACACAAAAGCTCTGTTTGAAAGGTGCTTTGTAATGACCTCAGAAACTCAACTGACTCTAAGAGAGTTTTGGAGAGATCACTTTAATATCCTCAATTGTGTGAACCTTATAGGTAAGGCTTGGGAGGAAGTGACTAAGAGGACCTTGAACTCTGCTTGGAAGAAACTGTGGCCAGAATGTGTAGACAAAAGGGATTTTGAAGGTTTGAGGCTAACCCTGAGAATCCTGTGCCAGTTGAGGAATCCATTGTGGCATTGGGAAAGTCCTTGGGGTTGGAGGTTAGTGGGGAGGATGTGGAAGAGTTGGTGGAGGAGGACAATGAAGAACTAACCACTGATGAGCTGATAGATCAACTTCAAGAGCAAGAGGCCAGACCTGGGGAAACTGGTTCAGAGGAGGGGAGAGAGAAATTGAAGAAGTTGCCTACTACAAAGATAAAGGAAATCTGTGCAAAGTGGCTTGAAGTGCAAACCTTCATGGATGAAAATCACCCTCACACAGCTATTGCAAGCCGTGTTGGCAACCTGTACACTGACAATGTTGTGAAACACTTTAGGGAAGTGATAAAGGAACGAGAGGTACAGGCCACTATGGACAGATATCTTGTGCGAAAGAAGTCCAGTGACTCTGAAGCTGGCCCTAGTGGCATTAAAAGAAGAAGGGAAGTAACCCCAGAAAAGGACTTGCTACCTCAAGTCCTAATGGAAGGGGATTCCCCTTCTAAACAGTAAGAAGATAATGCTCTCCCCTCCTCCCATCCCATCAATCATCACCAGATCTTCAATAAAAGTAAGTGTCATGTAAGTGTGCATGCCTTTTTCAGTTTGTGTGTATTAAAATTAATATTTCATGTGGTAAAAAAAATTTTTTTTTCATACTTTTGGGTGTCTTGCACGGATTAATTTTATTTCCATTATTTTTTATGGGGAAAATTCATTCACATAACGATTATTTCGCATAACAATTACCCCTCTTGCACGGATTAAAATCGTTAACCGGGGGTCCACTGTATATTACAGAAATAGAGATGATTTTGATTGGTTTTAATACTGAAAATGGCTTGAAACTGAGCTCAAAGTAGCGGAAATGTTAAATTTTTACCGATGTTCAAGAGTAAACAAATTACCTCACATGTCTAATACACGCCAGCTGGTGGGTCTAATATACGTTCACAAATGTTCTGATATTATTTATACAATTATTACAATATTGCATAACAGTAAATCTTCTATTTTTTGGTTTGAATAAAAATTTATTATGTGAATTAAAAATCAAAATGGAATTCATTTGTAAAGCCTGAAAATATAACTAATGAACAGAGGAAATGTTAGTTTAATGCCAGGAATGCCTGCATTGTTTATTCTGGACCCTATTTTGAAATTGGAATATTTTGAACTTTGCACTAAATTGGCCAAGTTACCAAATACCAGTCACTTTATTTTGTAGTTGAAACAGTTGAGTTGACAATTTCTTGTGCCGAGTCAGTAGAATAGAAGTAATACTAGTGAAATAGCTAAGAATTTGGTTGACTGAAATAAAGTAATTGGCCTAAAATGGGAGTCAAAGTCGGCAAAATCGCCAATGCGTAAATATTGCTGACACATCAAAATTCGCGAGAGCATAGTTTCGTCAGTTTTTCATCAAATTTCGTACTTTTTGTTTTATTACCTTCAGAAAAAGATTCTCTACCATTTCATAAGAAAAAATAACAAAATTATTTTTTGAAAATTCTTGGACACTGGTGCACACTTTGAAATTTGGCCAAGTGAGTGTAAAATGAAAGCCTGTAATTGTTTTATATGATGGTAGGATTGCTGGTGTCTTTTGTCTGTCTCATAAATATGCAAGATTACAGGTATGTCTTGCTACTTCTACTTACACTTAGGTCACACTACACATACATGTACACGTTTATTTATATACACTCATCTGAGTTTTCTTTGATTTTATCTTAATAGTTCTTGGTCTTATTACTTTTCCTTTTATATCCATGGGGAAGTGGAATAAGAATCTTTCCTCCGTAAGCCATGCGTGTTGTAAAAGTCAACTAAAATGCCGGGAACAATGGGCTAGTAACCCCTTTTCCTGTAAAGATTACTAAAAAGAATAAGAAGAAGAAAATTGTCAAAGTGGGAAGTCTGAATGTGCGTGGATGTTGTGCAAATGATAAGAAAGAGATGGTTGTGGATGTTATGAATGAAAAGAAGCTGGATGTCCTGGCTTTAAGTGAAACAAAGTTGAAGGGGGTGGAAGAGTT